GCGCCTGTCCTTGAATATAAATGAATAGTATGCCCTATGTAACAAACTTCTTTCGACTTCACCTCTTATAGGCAGATCACCCGAGCTGAACTCTATTCCATTTTTAATTGTCAGACAAATGATTAAAATGGCAAGAAATAGCAATCTCATGATCTGTTTATCTATACGAAGGCTTACGAGATGAAACTGTCTAGCTGGTAACTAATGCATTAGTATCGTAAAAGAAAGTCTCTGAAGGGTACTCTTGCTTTACGCCGTCGTTGCATAGATCGCGACCACTTCGCTTTTCCTTTTCCATATTTATTAAACATCGGTATCCTCAATCCGTTTTTCGTAGCCCTGCTCCCATATGATCTAGCCGTCATAATGCTTCCCACCGCCTACACACCACTAACCTGGGAAGCATAATCGTGTTTTATTGCGTTTTATCACTTTTGGGAGGCATCGCAATTGAGCCTCTCGATAGAAGTAGGTACATGTGGACTCTGAATTGATAAGAAATACTTATTCAAAGGAAGAGATCTCGTTCAATTACAGTTATTGGCACATTATCAGACGAAGTCAGTTCGCTGATTTTGTGGGATTTGAAGAAATTAGCCTTGCATTTTTACTTTATAGCACATACACAAACAAAAAGGTTTAACTACTGCGATTTTCACTTAAACCTAAATTAGACAATGTCAAAAAGTCTTTGGACTAGAATGAAGCCTGATATCCCTTAGGCACCCCATCAAAAGTGATAATAATAGTGAGTGTGTTGTGTTAATTTCTGATAATTTAGTCAAGCAACCAAGGTCCGAATTCCAGCATTTACTCTTGTAAGCATTCCGCTTATGCCCAATTCACAAAGGAGTAGTAGAACTAGCCTATTCTAGTGATATGAAGAAAAATGTAATGAAACTTTGAGATAAATTTTTATTTGCATCAAAACTCCGTGAGTTTATGTGAACAGACTAGCCAGAAATTTGTATTTAGTATGCGTACGTTGGTTTAAAGACCCATTTAGGAGACTAGAGGTGATGCAAACGAAATATTTGTCAAGCTCGACAATCTTCCGTTATTTTGCCTATAATCTGTTTAAGCAGGAGCTTCATAAAAAGTAAGTGCATTTAGTCCTTTCAATATTACCAACAACTCTGAGTTACCATAGAACGTTGAATAAATTATAAACTGTGGACTAATTAAAGTGAATGCACCAGTATATCGCTAAGGATGTTTTTTCTCTACTAGTACTTCGAATCATGAAACAGAGCCCTCAAAAATCTATTTCTCAAAGATATCAATGTAAAAGAGGAATTAAAGGTGGCCCGAGCATAAAAGACCATAACAGCAACTTAATTAAGATAAATTGTTATAAGCACGCGTATTATAGCTTAAGTAAGAGGTAAAATTATGTCTCAGATCAAGTTAAAGAAACAACGAACCATTGCATAGCATGATAGTAATTTCTTAACCAACTTCCTGCAAGATAGGAGGGCGAATTGGACATAAGCATGAAAGAGTCAATGAAGCAATAAAGTAAATAGTGACAGCTATAAAAAAGAAGCAATACGCAGAGAAATAGCTTACACGAAGTTCAGGATCAGATTGCAACCATTGAAGTACGACTCCCGTAGTGCAATATAGAATTGAACCCTGGCTTCTACGTGGGAGACGATTTTCTAATCTGACTTGGTAGCCAATCGAAGCTCCGGGAGTAGATTCTCCTCGTTCTATAGCCACGCGTTCAGCCACTGAGATAGCTGAGATACGACGAGGTTGAGTAACGACTATACGGGTTACACTCCCCATTTTCCGATTAATTACAGCATCGTCCAAGATAAACTGAGGAACCTGAGTGGTTTTGCCACTGCCTGTGGCTCCACTAAGGACAACGATTTGGTGCTCAGAAATCAAGCTTACGATTTTCTTAATAAAACAAATGAAATTAATAAAGTAGAATTGTTTAGAAGCAATGAATTTATCGACAAAAAGCAAGTCCATGATTCATAAATCCGAGTTAAATTCGCCTACAGTTTTTAGATGAAAAAATAGACAGAACATGTTGTCGAATGTGCTTTATAACACCCGGAGCGTAATTCAGGATTCATTGAATACTATTAATCATATCACCCTGAGGCATATCAGAGGAATGTTAATATATGTGAAATGTTAGTTAATGGTATAGCAGCGCGTCTACGATAGACAGATGCAGCCTTATAAAGAATGTGTATAAAAACAAATTGGAAAATCATATTAGAACAAAATTAGTTGCAAAGAGTAGCACAATAGTCTGAATTTATCCAAATATTTCATTGTTAAGATGAAGGTTAAGTATTAAAACTTATTAGGAAGCAGCTAAGGGTCATAGACTCAGTTAGGCAAAACTAAATTTTAAATAGCCACGATGCTTATAAATTAACTAATGCTGACTTGTAATTAATACTCGGCCAATCAATTTGTAATACATAATTGATAATCAAATTGCTAATTCTTACTTGTCGCTGAGCGTATGCAGGAAGCCGTTCACGAGATGGGCGCAATCTAAGGCATCCAGATGATTTGGCTTGGCGCACAAAATCATCCATTAAAGATTCGTCTAGGTTTAGATCCCGAACTAAACTATTGCTATCAAATCCAGTATTCGAACAAGTACATCTATCTAATAATTCTTCCATGTCAATAAGTTCTTCATCGCAATGATCTTTAGGATTATGTTTCGAGACGTCCATTCTGATGACACTTTCCCTTTTCCCAAGGCATTTTGAGGGCTCGACGAATTTAAAATCTTGAATAATCTTTTTAATCCTTTCAAAGTTTATTCCGGTCTCATTTATAGTATTGGCCCTTAGATGTGGAGACTTGACACGCTTATTGTTCATAGCATGCCATAATCCAATCTCCCTCCCTCTCAGATTAGGGGGTCTGACTTGAGAAAACATAGAGCGAAGCCAGAGTTTTCAGCGGAACTGGCTAGGATAAAGCAATTGAACTGCTATTTTGTTAAGACGCAGTGAATATTATCAAAAACTAAAATTGAGCGCAAGGATTGCGTAGTCATTAGAATTGCGATTTCACTTCGACCGACCTAAACGTGGTACATGGATCATAGACCACACCCGTTCAACATGTGACTTGGTCAAGCACAAGGGCAGAGCAAAGCAAGCCTTAAAGTTCACGTTAGAGCAATGAGGTCAAAATTCGGGCCAACTTACGGTTTTTAGGGTAAATTTATTTCAATAAAAAAGTAAAATATACGTAGTTGATTTTAGCAAAATAATTTAAGGAAACCTAAATAACGCTTTAAACTATTTTCAAGGTCGCAATATAAATTTCATACGAACTAGTTCACCAACAGAAGTTAGTAAACAAGAACCATGATTTAGAATACTGCTAGGCCTTTCAACCTAAGCATAAAGATTAAAAAAAAGTAATAATATTAATAAATCATAAGCAAATTTTCAAAAAATGGAGTGTGAGTTAAATTTTATGAAACCAACTCCTCGGACCTGCTTGAATTAAATGCTTTATCGATTGACTCTGAACAAGAAATTTGATAGATGTTGTTTGACCTTGTTTTCGCAACTTGGTCATATTGGTACGAAGACTTGTCCTGCGTCCATTGTATGCATAATTATTTCCAAAGTCGGACCGTGGACGTAGACATTCCCAGAATTTTCGCCGGCATCGTAGTCGGCATCGTCAGTGAATTTTACAATTCGTAGCACCATATAACACCTCGTCAAAGAGACCGTACCACATTTAAATAAGCAAGTAAAAAATTGTGACAGTGATGGCATGATAGGAGGATATAGGAAATATGAATAGGCCAGGGCAGAAGAGGAGATACCATAACTGTTTAGCACATGTTTAGTCAAAGGATTGGCTTAACTTGCTTTAGTTAGGTTTAATGTTGGACCACAACGTTTGTGGGTTGGCACACAAGAGACTAGGGCATGGGAAGTCATAGACTTGGTATTAGGGATCGAGACAGGATAGACACGGCTGCGATGGGAGTTAGTGTGGTGACAGTAGGTTTTACAAGAGACGTGGTCCATGTGGCAAAGACCTGAGGATGACACTTAATCGAAGACTTGAGCTTCAAATTAGTCACCCAGACGCAGGGTAGGGCCAATAACGCCTAGGTTCCACAGATGGGATGTCAGGGGTCGAGTGAAATGTGAACCAGGTAGAGGGTATACGGATCTTACGGGGCAAGACAGAGACTGTGGTAAGGCCTAAGGAATGAGGACTGCGTAACAATATGGCAGAATCTGGTCAACATTTCCAGCACAAGAATGAAGGGGGGTGAAAAAGGCAGTTTGGACTAAACAGGGTTCTCATAGAATCCGTTTAAATAAAAAGGCACACCGTACCACATTTAATTAAGCAAGTAAAAAAATTGTG